GACAGACAGACAGACAGACAGACAGACAGACAGACAGACAGACAGACGACGTCAAATTAATTTTGCAATTTCACCCTAAAACAGGTTGCCAAAATAATGCCGGATCTCCCCCAACGAGGTGACTGAAATTATTGAAATTAGACGAGGCGAGGTGAATAATTTCAAAACATTGAATTAAGACGAGGTACGCGGTGAACGAAACTAATCAAGCGAATTTAATTCACCCAGGTTCTGTACGTTGAAGATTCAGGCACCATGATGAACTCAGATACTACAACTACAATGCATTGATTTGGTGTCAAGCCTCATCCAGTGTGACAGTGAGACTGATGCCATGCATCGCATCATCTTCGAGTTCAGAAGTTCGACGCATCGCGCCACCGATGCCGCGATGGTTCCTTCTTCTCCCCGATTCCGTCCGGAGACCCGAATTCGCAGACGGGACGGGCGATCGCCCACGCCACGTGTAGAGCCGACGAGGTGCCACACGTCTTCGGCCGCGCTGGCGCGAGCTGGGCTCCCTCTGCGCAGCTGGACAGCGACTGGGCACGGTCTGCGGAGCTGGGAAATGCGAACGGAAACCAAAACAACCAGCTGGAGGAGGAATCATTGAGGCAAAGTGAACAGAAGTGAGTTGCTATGTTCGTTTTCGGTCAAGACCTCATGTTGTCCCTTTGGAACGTGTCGAAAGTGAACATCCATGTGGCTTGAAGCTTTTGAGTTTGGTTCAGGGTGCCTCACAACAACCACGTCAAATGTCCGGCTAAACCACTTCCACCCATTGTGGAAGGAGAGTGATTATCACAGATACATATTGAACATTGAGACCATCTATTTCTCGGAAATAATTTTCCCGTGTGGGCATGCAACAGCTAGCCCACGTCCCCGCTTTTGGGACAGAGGATACGATCGCCTGTGTACGGACCCAAACACAGAAGACTCACAAAAAGTGTTCTAGAATTTCTAGATAGGATCGAGGCCATCGCTCTTAGGTTGGAAGCCTAAGACCCAAACTAACACTGGAAATTCTAGAACACTTTCCAGATTCAATTAGGTCGGAAGCTATTAGGTTCCTTAAAGTTTTTCCCTGAAGTTTTACCAGAAACGGAATGCCTACGGATGCCTACGGCTCTTCAGATTCACAAGTTGGAGGTGAACACCATCAGCAGCTGCGATCGTTCTCGCCGTGCCAGTTGATGTATCCTATTGACCATGTTTGGGGGGTGACGAGCTGGTGCTGGAGCTCTCCCTTTAACGATGATGTCCAGTTGTTGTTTCATTCCCGAGACCAGGCGGTTGTTGGCGTGTGCAAACGCTTATCGGATGAGCTCGCGAATCGCGACTCATTAAAACTGAAACTGCTTCCAAGGTTTCCAGGTGAGCAAGAAAACTTCTGGTGCAAAACCGTTCGGATGGTTCCGCATCCAAGAACGACCTCATCCTTATGCGCATTCCTCACCGTCTTTCAACCTTCAGGCCAAAAAAACACTCAGAGCATGAGTTTATCCCCAAGAAGGCAACTTTTGGTCATAGGTGTCCATGCATCCTCAGGTTCCAGCGTGCGGCAGAACTTGATGCTTGGGAACAAGTGCAAAAGGATTTGTGTGGGTCGAAAACCCCCATCCTGGGCCAACAAAGTCAGCAAGCCAAGTTGCGCTCCAAAGTTAACGGTATACACAGGGGAAAAAAAGCGCACCTTCTGTTCAAACACCGAGACCCAACACCCAAGACTCACGCGTTCGGTCTCATCACGAGGACTGACTGTTGGCCCGCGTTTTTTGGAGACCGAACAAGCCAGGGCATTATTTTTGGAACAGAACCACCAGGGAGAGGAGCCCCGTTCGTAGCGTCCTTGCTCCTAGTGGAGCTCCTAGTAGCATCCTTGTTCCTAGTAGCTTCTTGCTTCTAGTAGGGATGCCCTTTGTTCCTAGTAGCTTCGTGTTCCTAGTAGTAAGGCCCTCTGTTACGTTCGGAGCTTCTTGTTACCAGCAGAAAGGCCAGGAGCGCCCCATTCGTAGCGTCCGATCGCTCCGTTCGTAGCGATGCCCTTTGTTCCTAGGTCCTAGTAGCACCAAGTTGCGGCGAGGATACATTCTTTATGGCAACCTGTGTTATTCAAGAAAGCGTCTCGTCACCCAACACAATGGATATGTGGAATATGCGCTTATGGATCGGACCCGGCTCTTCAGCAGGCCTTGCTGAAGCGTTAGAACTTGCGTTTGGTGTGTGAGAATTCGGGGATTCGCTCACACAACCTGCACCGAACCCGTGCATGGAAGCTGTAAAACAGTAAACATGGCCCGGAATAGGCTGAATGCTGGACGGCCTGGCAATGCGCACGAATTCGAAGCCCAGTCAGCGGATCACCTTCGGGATTGGGTGTTTCACCCCGAAAGACCAACCAGGAGATGTTCGGTTCACCTCTGGCCCTTCAGTGCCACCATTTCGGCCGGAACAAGTGCCTTACTAGCAGTAACAAGAAGCTAGTAGTAACAAGTGCATCGCTTCTAGTAACAAGTGCCTTACTAGTAGTAACAAGAAGCTAGTAGTAACAAGTGCATCGCTTCTAGTAGTAAGTGCCTTACTAGTAGTAACAAGAAGCTAGTAGTAACAAGTGCATCGCTTCTAGTAGTAAGTGCCTTACTAGTAGTAACAAGAAGCTACTAGGAACAGCGTCGCGTCGTTGAGTCCGGACGAAAGCCCAGGAACGACGTTATGCGGGCGAGACAGAGCGCTGGGTGGCTGCCTTGGCACAGCTAGGCCGCATTGTTCGGTTGAAATAGGATTGGTTTGTGGTAGCTTCTTGTTACAACGGGTGAAACGATACGACAGGTGAAAGGATTCCCAAGGAAGCTTCTAGCTACTAGTAGCGCCTCCAACCTACTTGCGATGGCCTCCACCCAATAGCGTCCTTGCTACTGTGTTGAAAGCTATGAAGGTCAGAGCCGAGCAAATCGTCGAAACAAACAGCTTCAAATCCTAAGGCGGTCCTAGCCTAGCTGTGATCAAGAGTTTGCACATTTGACTCAACCTTGTCTAGAAAGAGCTGTCCACTATTGGGAACTCAGTGCAAGCGCACGAATCCGCGACATATTCTTCGACGAAACCCCATGGCTGTCTGACGGAGGTCATGATGTTCCTCCAGACTTCTTGCTGTCCTTCCAGGAGCTTTGCAACCTTCTGGGCCGCTTGTTCCAGCTTTGTGAGAATCTCATCGAAGACCCTCCGTCGGAGGCGGAAAAAGAGATCGACTTTTCACATAAAGGGGACTTGGACCGCGAGAATTGCTGCAGCGAAGACTTCGGTGATTCAACACTAAACCGAAAGCAAACATAGCCTCGCTTCCATAACTATATATATGTGTGTGTGTTTGTTTTCTACATTGCCATCAGTGCGCCAGTTCGATAGTCTAGGCTTGAGCAGAACTGAGGCCGTAGTCATGCCTCTCCCACGAGATCCCCGCTTTCACGCGACATCTGCGGGGAGTCGACCGTGCCGGCGGTGGAACCCACTGGTTGCAGTTGCAGGCAGGACGCGTGGGGACTCGGGCACGGAAGGTGATGCAAGGTGGGAGAAGGTGATCACTGGCGTGCTTCATATAGTGGCGTCGCTTCTCGCTCCGTTCGTAGCGTTGCCCTTGTTACGTTCGTAGCGAACCTTGTTCCTAGTAGTAAGGCCAGGAGCCCCTAGCAGCGTCCTTGCTCCTATCCTTTGTAGATCTTGACAGAGATCCACATGCAAGCAGCACATGTGCCGGGCTGGACTGAAAGTGAGAGTATGGGATCCTCACAGGGTCGTGGACTCGCTTGCTGCGGGTCCAAAACCTGACAGCGAACTTCTGGCATCTAGTAACAAGGATGCTATTAGGTGGATGCCGTCGCTGTAGGTTGGAGGCCATCGCTACTAGGAACAAGAAGCTACTAGTTTAAAAAAAAGAAACGGGATCTTCAACATGTTCACCGTATTTCTTGACACGAACCAGGTTTTCAGCCCTCGAACTCCCCGTTTCTTAGGGCGGAGCCCGTGCACTGCTTTCAGCCCCGTGCACGTCTTTGGGGGCGACGGGTGCGGCGCGCTGTGGTGGCCGCCTTTGATCTGCAGATACCACTGGATGAACCTTACAGGAAGTGTGGCAGGGCAGGGTGGGCAGTGCATGGCAGTGCATGGCAGTGCCTGCAGAATGTCAGGTGGGTGTGTACTTGTAGCTCAAATAGGAAGACCTCCTAAAGTTCCTAAACAACCCCTGCAAGGTTTGGGAAATAGACCAATCTACCCCGCCAGGGCCACAAGGTCTCCCTATTGAAATAGACCCCAGGTATCTAGTAATATAGAGGATTGAACAAAATCGATGGTTTTCTGGCCACGCCCTGGTTGGTTCGGTTTCAGAGGTTCTGGGGACCAGATGTTTTGGTCGCCAGAGATGTTGTCCATCACTCAGTGAGACTGTGAACACATACATACACATACATATATTCCAACTCACTAACACGGAAGTGGAAAAACGACCTGTTTCGGCTTCAGTCGTCTTGTGGCCCATGCCATCCACTTCATCCAGGTTCCGTTCGTTGTCGAGTAGACACTCTCCAAGCAGCAGTCTTTGGAGAGTCCCTTTCCACTCGCGGGCAAGAGAGCAAAGGTGCCGCAATGGCTGGAGCCGAAAATGACCGGAATGTTATCAAGGGGATGTGCAAGCAGTTTTTTGCCCCAAGTAGAAGTGCTTGACCATTTTGTGCACCCCGAACTTCCATGGGTGTCAAAAAATCACCACAAAGGTTCGGTTCGCCCCCTGTCCTTCTTGCGCCAACCAAAAAGTGTCGGAAACTGTGTCAAGTGAACTGTGAAATGGGATTGTCCAAATCTTTCTGGGCAATCTAGTGGTCAAATCCTTCAATTTGTTTTCTATTTCATGGCCATCATGAGCTGATGCGCAGGACCTGGGGAGTGCATGATGCACCCTTGGACTTCTTGATGAACTTTGATCTCAGCCTCACACCAGGCGAAACTGACCGTGTGGCTCAGTAGCAACGGACTAACTGGGATTGAAAGTCCCCCTGGTACGTGGGCAAGATGGTCAGGTGCCGTGATCGCAGGAAGATCCGTTTCATTTTCGGGCATGGTGACATACTTATACCATCTTATACCAAAGCAAGGGGGGTCAGTTGCTAGTGTGACAAGTCTGACGCGTCTCGAGATAAAACCTAGCAAGAGGCAAGCCAGGTAAGACAAACACTGGAGGAGCATGTTGGTCAAGTCCTCGAAATGTGGAAGTGCCGTCACCAACTGCCGGTACGCTCGGTACTCCGGGGTACGAAAGTGTTGCACTTTGGGGTTGGGCGTTTTTACGAAAGAAACCGAAAAGCAGCTCATGTCAACAGGCTTCCTAGGTTGGACATCAGCAAAGCACTAGCGAAGCACGTTTATGATTGGGTGGTGGAGGACTAACTGAAAGAAGAGGTGTGGGGCAAGCTTCACCATTGCTCCAAGCAGGAATCTCAAACGAGAGTGTGTGTGAAAGAGTTTCTCATGAGGCCAGTCCTTGTAGTCAACCGCAAGCCCTTTCTAAAGGCGGGCTCCTATTCTTAACTTATGTTGAATCTCTAAGGCCAGCATTTGCATTGCACCCGACTTACTTGTACTCTCTTGTACTATAGATGCTCGATCGACTGCAAGCACCGATAGAAGAAATGCTTCGGCTGGTTCCAAACCCTCGCAGAGTTGAACTCAGTGCCAAGAGGTGCAGGCTTCGGTAAGGAAAAGTCTGATGTAGAAAGAGAAAGCCAAATAGTAGCTTCTTGCTCCGTTCGTAGCGATGGCCTCCAACCTACTTACGATGGCCTCCACCTAAAAACGCTTCCTAGCTACTAGTAGCTTCTTGTTCCTAGTAGTAAGGCCAGGAGCCCCGTTCGTAGCTACCCACCATGCACCCACATCTTCACACCGGATGAGGTGCTCTTGCTGCCCCCGGCACATCTGGCACTCTACCCGCTGACCACACGCACTCGCCGAAGGCAGGGAAAGGGACAGTTTGGGTTTGAAGGCAGGGCACCATCTTCTTAAGCAACAAAGCCGAAAAGTCAACAAAGTCGGACATGAAGATATCATGAATGAATCTCAAGCTAAGCCGTGTGTGTGTGTGTGTCTACATGACTAGTTCATGAAGGCGAATTCCAGCATAGGAAAAGATATCGAAAAGGCTCATTGGTTTGGATGTCTTCAATTTATCGGAGACCCCCCCTTAGTTTGTGGGTCAAAATGAATGAAATCAAGGAGCCGGGCGCAGCCAATGTCTGCCCATGTGCCCGGTCCCAAAGGGCGCCTCGGATTCCCTTTCGGACCAAAGAACCGCTGCTCGGGGCGTGAAACCCGAGGCTACAAGGTGCCAAGGTGAAGGTCATTGAGGTCCCATGGATTGAGCCTCCAGCGACTTGGATTGACTTCGGTGGCAAGGCTGACGCAAAAGCAGCAGGACAACGACGGACGACACACGACGTTGCGCGAAGCGTCGTTGGGAGGAGGTGATGAGAGGTTTGGAGCAGGACAGCTGGAGCAGGAGGACGCCAATCTGAGGGGCCTAACAGCAGTCTTTCTGGTCCCAGCAGGATACGTTTTGAGCTTGTCCAAAACCCAGTTAAAAACTGGGAAACTACCATAAGTTGAAACGAAAACCCATATAAGTAGGCATCACTTGGATACATCGTGATACATCCACGTCCATGTGTGTGTGTGTGACCTACGGATTGACATGCCATGCGGCCTCGCCAGCTGAGGGCGTCTCGCCCACGGTGGCTCAGCGCAACCAGGAGAACCACTTCGGAAACAGGGAGTACATCCGTATCTTGCCTTGAAGACTATGAGAGACCGTTTCAGCGTCGAAAATAAAGAGTCAGTGTTCTTTCTGAGAGGAGGGCTAGTTATATATATATATTATATATATATAAACCTCTCGCGCCACACGATCCGGTGAGAAGCGTTGGCGGTATGCCAGCCACTCTGGGCTAAACATACGTGGAAACCCCTGTACAGATACATTTGTTGAATTGGGCGACTTTGAGACTTGTTGTGTGTATGAAACGATGTATCAGTGTATGTTGTCTACCTCATATCGTGGGCAGGGCCTGTGAGGAAAGGGGCTGTCGTCCATCAAGCGCGTTTTTGAGGTTGATCAAAAGAACATCAAGTACATCCGTTGTTATTTTGGGGAAGGTAGCAGCAGGAGAGCACAGAAAAGGGCACGCGGCGGAGGCAACCGACGTGTTGTGAAGACTATGTTTGCACGGACTGCCTTGTACACCTAGAGTCCATTTTACCTTTGTTTTGATCGGAAAAGGCTATTTTTGGGGGGGTGGTCGGAGGTCACCCAGGCTCTAGTTTTCCCTAGCCCTCAGAGAGCATTTAAAGGATGGGAAAGACCTGGTTTTGTAGTGCAAAATCCTTAGTCAAAGAAGTCAATGGTGGGCCATGAATCCTAGGGGGTTGCTGCACGCCGCGTCGCACGTGTGGCACACGAGGTTTGCACGCGATGAATCTGGACTATGACGTCGTGGTCTACTTGGACACCGACGTGCGGATTGTTGGGGATTTGAACCCCATTTTTGAAGAAGGTCCCTCAGGCAAAGAGCGCGAGGACACGGTCACCACTGAAAAATATAGATGTATATATATAGTCTATAGTTATATATCTGTGTGTATAGCAATCCAAGAGGTAACTTGGGGGGCGGGGAACCATTAAGTGTAGAATATGTGTGCATATTGGAGTTGACCATGTCAAAGGAGACACACTCGCGCAGACCTTTAAAGGTTGCAGAGACGGGTCAGGACAGGGTCGGGTCGCCGCTCATGAGGTTGTGAGCCACCAGGCATGAGGGCGACCTGTGATAAACTCTGAGAAAGATGACCAAACCTTAAGCGCTCAAAAAACTGAGACAGTATTCCATTTATTCTGTAAGAATCCAAGCTAATTTGCCAACTGCACCACCCTACACACGATCGACACATGCAACGGTCTCCAAGAATCCCAGCCTCGCCACAGCTCCCTCACGCGGGCAAACTTCTTGGCCTGTTCATCCCCAAGACCATGTTGTAGGAGGTCATAGGAGGATTGATAGCGCCATGAAACCACCTGGTGTTCACCACCAGACCTGGAATGTCTAGTGTTTGTCGAACAACAAAACTCTTTTGAAAGCTTCAAGCTCTTGGACACTACAAAGGGTCTACCAAACACCTCGTTTGCTTCATCACCGAAACCCCGGTCTTTACCGTCGAGGCCAAGACCTCTTCGTGTCCACCGGCAGCACGGTGGCGCCCTTGGACGGCGGCTTCTTCGCGGTACGACCCAGTGGCTTCTTGGACGGCGAACGGACGGGGCGAGTGCCGGACGGGGGTGAAGAGAGGCCTCCAGTTCTGGATCAAGGCGGATGGTGAGGTGTTGCTAATTCTTGTAGTAACAAGTGCCTTACTAGTAGTAACAAAAAGCTATTAATTTAAATTAATTTTGACTTTAATTCTAATAGCTTCTTGTTACTACTAGTAAGGCACTTGTTACTAGAAGCGATGCACTTGTTACTACTAGTTCATGGTCCAGAAATGCCAAAACGCAAAAGAAATGCCCAGTACGAGTGTTCAAAGGAGATTAACCAGATACAGCAACTCCGGTGTTCGTTTGGACTCCATTCTAGGGCAAACCTGAGGTTCTTCATTGAACGTTGCCTTTTGCACTCATTGGAATTCAAATGCTCAGATCGATTTCGGAAAGGTGAACACCAAAGAAAGAGAAAAATAGATCCACTTCTCAAGTGTGTTGAACAGATGTTCTACCCTTCTGCAGAGGACGACCCTGAAAGCCACGTCAGGTGCTAGATGAGAATAGTCTTACAGGATTCCATTTTCATGGTTCATGTTAGTCTGCAGGGGGGTATTTGTTTGGAGACGACGGTAAAACTATACTGAAGGAATGTCAATGCGCGCTGCCGAAACCTGTCGAGTTCCCTTGAGCCTGATCGGGGGGCCCCACAGCCCTTGTTAGCCCTTGTGTTCTCCATGTTTCTCAGCCAAGATGAATCCTCCCAACTCCAAATTGATGCAGAAAAGGGAGCTGACAAGCCACATCTCCGTGGTCAAGGGTCACAGATCCCTGAGCTGAGCTCAGGAGCCTTGTTCCGAGCCATGCTCGATGTCTTGCGCACGGTGCACTACGACCGTGAAACGGGCTGGAACAGGACGAAATGTGGGAAACATCACACTCGTGTCGTCGTCGTCGTCGTCGTCACTCACCCTGCGGTGACCCTCCATTCTTCCTGCGGTTGTGCCAAAAGGAAGATCCGTAGAATCCGGACAAAAGGTGATCTCATCCTTATCCTGACCTGGTGATAGATCAGATCTGGCCAGTCTTGGGAATTGACGCACGTTTTTTGGTTGATATGAGAAAAAAAACCTTCCACACCAGAGTTCTGAAACGTTGCACACACCCGGAAGATCATTGAAGTTTAAACACTTGTCGACGCTTCACACTAGAGCTCGGCAACCCTTGAAGAGCCCCGTGACGGAACGTCACCCTGGAAGGGTCTTTTTTCACCGTCGTATTCCGTGCCCGAAGTCAGGATGGGCCATGGCTACAGCTTGGCCACTTGGAGTCGAAACTTTCGATTCCGTTCTCAACAGTGGGCAGGAACATGGTAGTTTAGTGCTTCGGAAACACATGGTCATAAGAGTCATCATCCAAGTTGATGACCGATATTGGCTAAGACCTGCAAATGCTAGTAGAATCGCACGTTCAGGGCTCTTAGCACTATCCGTCCGAGACGTCATCCGTCACACCAGGTGCGGTCACTGGCATTTCCATGCTGAAAGAGGGTATGGGCGGTATGGGAACTTGGTGCATCTCCATCTGCGGAGCGGTTGAACGGGTTGCCGGGTATGGACCGTTCACGCACGGTACATGGACGAAATGGACCGCTTAAAGATATGGAAAGGTCCGGAGATCGTTACTGTGGTTGTTTCTCAACAAGAAGTGCTTTTGGGCGTGGACATAAAGCAGAGGAAGCAGATACAACATCATACTATCAAGGGAGTTCCTCGAACACTGGGGATTGCGTTGGAAAGTGAGGACCTCCTTCATAAACGCTGCAGGTGTGAACTTAAGACTTAAGACAATCAATCGGTATCATGAAAAAGGTATGGGTGTCAATCAAGCTCCAACTGTTGTTTTAGAGCCCTCTCTCCAAGTGTGTTCGCCGTGCGAAACAGCTGAAGTAGATTGTAACAAGTAGAAGAGGTCTTCTTCTACCCTAGCAAGAGAGTGTGGTGCTTTTCCGCACGTAATGCACCGCCAGTCCAAAGCATCCAAAAACGTGGTTTTCTCGGACACATGGTGAGGCACTTGGACGCGCGGAGGGAAATTATCCCGCTGGCCCACAAGGACATCGTTGTAAAGATTTGTAAAGACATTTTTTTCAGTCTAGCGCCAGGAGCCATCGCTACTTGGTTGAAGGCCATCGCTGTTAGGATGGACGCCATCGCCATTAGGGTGGAGGCCATGGCTATTAGGTTGAAGGCCATGGCCATTAGGTTGGAGGTCATCGTGACCATTGGCATTCACGTCGTGCCGACTCTTTCGTCGCCGGTTTCGTCGGGCGAAAGTGGTGGGTATCCAGTCCGCGGGTCCTTTTGACTATTTTGGTATGGGAAAAGCTCAGTAGTACAAGACATGCTTGACTGATCTTGGCTGTTGGACTCCGCTCGAGTATATGTTTGTCCAAGTGCTGAAGGATCATGTGTTTTTTGTCAGACATCGGTTTGGATGGACAGCATCGAATGCGCTGGTGCAGCAGGGGGCCCTTGGAAGGCTCTCGGGAGGCTCAACAAAGTCCCTATGATGGAAGCGAAAAGAAAGACATCGCCTGTGTCGATACATGCACACTTGCGCACCGGTGTGCGCCCTCGGCTCGCGCGGAAGGCAGTCCACACCAAACGAGGTCGCCTGTGTCGGTACAAATAATAAGAGTAGCGAAACGACTCGACGTGGAAGTTTCGGTGATGTTGTCTCTTCTGTTTTTACGCAGATTCGTGTTTTCTCTTCTGGGCGCCCAAAGAAGCACAAGCTGGCACCAACTCCTCAGACCAACGACAGGATTTCTGTATCATTTCTTCTACATGGCCGATCCAGCAGTCGATGCTTGGCAGAGTCTATAGGGGACGATGCGCGAGGGAATGATTTTCTGACACTATTAAGATGGAGGCCATCGCTAGTAGGTTCGAGGCCATCGCTATTAGGTTGGAGGTCCCTGGGTCGGACCCATGCGTGGTGCTCAAGGACGGCCAGGGAGATGGGGGGCCGGGACGGGCATCCCGGCAGCATCCTCCGTTCGCGGCGGGGGCTGACTGCCCAGACGCAGGAGCGTCAAAAGTCAGGAGAGTCGTCGTCGTCGTCGTCGTCGTCGTCGTCGTCGTCGTCGCCGTCGCCGTCGCCGTCGCCGTCGCCGTCGCCGTCGTCCGTCGTCCGTCGTCCGTCGTCCTCCGTCGTCCTCCGTCGTCGTCCGTCGTCGTCCGTCGTCGTCCGTCGTCGTCCGTCGTCGTCCGTCGTTCGTCCGTCGTTCGTCCGTCGTCGGTCGTCGGTCGTCGGTCGTCGGTCGTCGGTCGTCGGTCGTCGGTCGTCGGTCGTCGTTCGTCGGTCGTCGTCCGTCGGTCGTCGTCCGTCGGTCGTCGTCCGTCGGTCGTCGTCCGTCGGTCGTCGTCCGTC